GCCCTGGTTTCCCCCCAGCAAAAGTGCAGGTTTCTAAACTCAAGCGTGTAACCTTCCAAAGGCAGGAAGCTTGGATGCCAGGATGCACCACTCCTGATGCTCGTAAATGCCGCTGGACCTCTCAATGCCTCCCTCCATAGACTGTGCATTTAAATCGGATGCTTTGACGCCCAAAACGCTTTCAGTGTGAACGCACCAAAAGACATGGCCTGCCCCAAAAGACTTGGTCTTACAAATATATCAATAATCATGCAACACTTCAGACTCTCTACCCTTTATGATTGATCAGTTAAAAAAAGGTTTATTTCTGTAACATGACAAACTGTTAAACAGCTCAAAGGGTTTAAATAGTTTTGCACAGCACTGTTTTTACTAAGGCTTTATTTAACAGCTATCATCCCAGCCTCCAGTAACAACAGACGGGTGTGACAGCCTGCAATGATCCCAGGAGAGGAAAAGCTAACTGCCAGACCATCAGTCCATCAAAAAATCTAAGACAGCGCCGCGGACAGTGGCTTCTTCATCTCCAGACAGGCTCTTAAAACCTGTCTGGGGAAATTATAGATCAGACTGGAGTGTCAAATGACTGCTGCTTCTGAAGTATGTGACCTATCTGGCAACAGTTAATGAGGTAGCCAGTGAGCTGAAGGAAGCAATATGCAGGATCTACAGAGAAGGAACATCAAACAGAGGCAACTACTCCCCCATTAAGCAGAGACGTAGCCAGAATTTTTTTTTATAAAGGTGGCCAGGAAATAACCAATGTACACTGAGGGGTGGCCGAAGGTGGATAGGCGCCAGAACCTCAGGGTCAATCTACACTGTTCCAACAGGAAAATTAACAAGCAAAACATCCATATTTTCTAAATAAATACTAACTATACTTTCCTACAGCCTTTGCTAACACATAGACGCATATATTTATACATCTGTAATTTCTAGATAAAAGGTATAGTGTTTAAAACTCGGTTTTCAGTTCTAGTGCATAAATCTTTTCCATTGTCATTACTTACCTACTTGTATCAGTAAACATTCTGCATAAAATAAATATTTACAGGCATTAGTATCTACATAAATTGATTTTTTGATAAGTTTGCATTGAAATTGTTACTTATCTTTGATTTCACTGAAGACTCAA